TGTTCTGCTGTTTTGTTAATTGAGTGTATTTGGAGTCTTCACTGCCAAACATATACTGAGATTTTCTTATGTTTTTTATTCATCTGCAGCTGTATCCTTTACTTTGATGGCAGACCAGATGTGGATAATGGTTCATGTTGATGGAAACTGGTCTCCTAATAATATTTTTATTTCTAAGTACACAATTGGAGTCCCAATTCCAAATAACAGCTCATTCCAAGATTTAATGTTGCATCTGAAACGTGTAATTTGCAAGGAACATTTTCGTGTTTCATACGCTGTTGGGTCCATTCTTCCTCCTGTGAATATAGATGATGAGAGTAGCTTCCAATTTTATATGCAATTGAAGTGTATTGAGTGTGATTTTACGAAGCTTTCATTGTGTATCGAATTTGACACAAACAATACAAGTTCACAGGGTGTCATAATGTCACAGTTTAATGAGTTTGGCACTATTATTGATGCATCTTCTTCCACTTTTCCTGTTCCTTCTGTTGGTACTTCCCAGAGTCTTCTTCTTACTCAATTCACACAGCCTCTGTCCTTATCAAGTGAAGATGTCTGTATTGCTGAAAGCACAGATTCTGTGTCAGTGGAATCCACACCTAATGTTGTTATTTCTCATTACCATCCAACAACTATTCGCATGGATTGCATGTACAAGTCAAAGATGGACCTTCAGCATCATTTGCAAATGTTTTCCATTGTTAATAACTTCCAGTTCAGAACTGTAACTTCAACGAAGACATCCTATCATGTCGTGTGTGTTGATGCTAATTGTAAATGGTCCCTTCGTGCTGTACGTGTATGTGGTGCAAGTTTATTCCAAATTAGAAGGTATATTTGCATTTTGAAGTCTTATTTAACCCTCTCACTTGATTAGGTATATACACACGCACACACACATATATATCTCACATTTGGGCCCTTTTGTGTCTTAGGTTTGACTCAGAACATTCCTGTCCTGTTGACTTTCGTGAAGGCAATCATAGACAGGCAACATCTACCCTTCTAGCAGGCTTGGTTGCACATCGTTATGCAGATGCTTTGAAAAAGCCATACTAACCTATTGACCTTATGGACGACATGAGGAGGGAATATGGGATTACTATGTCTTATAAGAAGGCTTTGGTAATTAAAAGAAAAGCGATGAGCAAACTCTATGGTTCAGATGATCAATCGTACCGCTTGTTGCCTGCAATGTGCTATATGCTTGAGAAAAATAACCCGGGGTCTGTTATATCTCTCACAACATGCGAAGATGGCAAATTTAAGAATATGTTCTTCTCGCTTTGTGCGTGGAGGCAAGCATGGATTCATTGCTTTCCAATCCTTATTATAGATGGGACTTTCATGAAGGCTTACTTTCGTGGAACACTGCTGGCTGCATGCACACAAGATGCTAATCGACAGATTATCCCTTTAGCATTTGGCATATGTGACGCTGAGAACAATGAGTCTTGGTTGTGGTTCTTAAGCAATGTGAAACATTCACTAATTGAACGCAGTGACATGTGCATCATCTCAGACCGTCATGATGGTATCTTGTTTGCAGTGGATAAGGTGTTTCCTTCCATTCCTCATTGCTATTGTACTGAACATATATTGCGCAATCTCAAAGGGAAATTTAAGGGCAAATCAGAATCAATTGAGTGGAAGTTCAGAGCTGCTTCTCGGGCTGCTACTGTTGAAGAGTGTGAAGAGTATCTTTCAATGTTAGATGAGGATGATCCACGTATACGGGTATACCTTGATAAGATTGGAGTTGCAAAGTGGTCTAGATGTAAGAGTCCAACATCACGTTACTCCTCCATGACTTCAAATTTGGCTGAGTCAATGAACAATGTTAATAAAAATGCACGGGATTATTCTGTAGCAAAATTGGTTGAATTCCTTCGTGGTAGGATGCAACGATGGTTCCATGAAAGGGCTGAGATTGCTAGTTCCACACGTACTCCTCTTCCAAAGAAGCGCGAGAATGAACTGATTCAATTGCAACGTGATGCATTTCGGATGAAGGTCTGTTATTTTAAGAGTAGAATATTCACTNTGGTGTGTAGGTCAATGCCTCCTGTTCATATGAGTTTGAGGTTACTGATAATGATTCTCGATCATTCATTGTCAACCTAAAGGAAAAGACTTGCACGTGCTGTGAGTTCCAACTTGATAAATTTGTATGTGTGCATGCTGTTGCAGCGATTGGTAAACGCCCTGGGTTATCCTGCTACGAATTTATTTCCACCTTTTACAAATTGGAAGCATTGGTGTGCACATATGCTGGAATTGTTCATCCTATTGGTGATGTGTCTAGATGGGTGATTCCTCAAGAGATTCTATCAAGGAAATGTGACCCTCCATCTTGCAACAAGCGCCCTCCTGGAAGACCTAAGAAGAAAAGGTATCCTTCTGTAGGGGAGTTCCGTTATGGCAAACGTAGAGTGAAGCAAAGATGTTCGAGGTGCAAGTCTCATGGCCACAATATGAAATCATGCACCAATCCAATTCCAATGGCAGATGCAGCTCTTACTTAAGAGTTGTTTAGTATCATTTACTTTATCTCTTTCCAACTATATGTATTTCAATTTGAGATGTTCTTATTACGAATATGGATGATTTAATGCTTTATGTTCTTTTTGTTGAACAATATGGTCCTTGAACTCCATGCTTTATATTTAATAGCCAAATACTTGTTATATTTTTACAAAATTTCAAGAGTTACACTTTATACGTCCATATATACATGACTCCATAAAATGGAATTTATTTCCCTGTAATAAATTTAAACAATACATTTAACACCACATAGTGTCATTTTTTTCACAGTACTCTTGTAATTTCAAATTTATGTTTTATTCTCTATTTGTCTTTCTTAACACATTGTATTGGTTGTTTTATTCTCTATTTGTCTTTTTTTGACACAATTTAAATATATGCACTTTATACTTCCATTGATGACTGCGTAAAGAGGAAATTATTTCACTAGAATTGATTTAAAAAACATGTTTAACACAACACAATTTCAACAGTTTCACTTTCACATTACTTCAAAACACAACAAAGGCACATGTACCCAAACACAGAATTCTAGTACAGAATGAAACCAAGTCACAATGCAATATCCCAATGACCATCACTGACCATATGCATTGTTGTCATACACCAAAGGTTTCATCATACAAAGCAAAAATAGCAATAGAGTTTTCAACCAGCTCAATACACAAAATAGATAATAACATCAATATGTTTTATAGTCACTCCTTTGCAGCCATATTTGACTCTGCAAATCGAACTAGCTCTGTAGCCATCTTCATCCTATATGCTGCCATCTGATCTGTACGGATGTCCCTAATGTCCATATCCATCATGAGGTACTCTGCAATTTTAAGCACAAACATACCACAATTCCCACTGCAAAAATCAAGAAATATATTAGGAGACCCTATTTAAAAGATGTACAGAAAAAATTTCTCAACTACAATGTTTTGTTTTGTATGTTGATACTTACGCATCAGTCTGTTGTGGGCAAAAATCTGCAGCCTTCAAATCAAGCTTGTTGTCTCCCATTGGTCCACTAGGATGATTAATGTAGACATCACACAAATCCATTAACTTGGATAGAAGGCATTTGATGCAAGTGCTATATTCAGCAATGTCTTTAAGAGATCTCCCTCCCTTTGAATTATAAACCCATACTATTTTGGACTCCACCGCTAACACTAGCAGCACCCAATGCCCCCCAGTATTCAGTGGCATATAGACAAAATCTGATCGGGCCCATGGGAAAGAACACTTTCTTGCAAAACCAAACACTTCAGCTGTCAAGTTTGAAACGCTTCCAACATCTTCTTTGATTTTAATTTTCTTGTCAATGTCGTCTTGATGCCGCTTAAGACATTCTAGGAAAAAAGGTGTCACAGTTGAGTATGTTTGTGTGAGCTTGTAGTTGAATCTTTTCACCTCCAAGTAAAACATGCCAACCTCCATATGCTGTTATGAGTATAGGAAAACAATATCAGGTCAGTATTTATCGACAATGCTACATACAGTGTCATTACGATTGGAAATGTTATTTTGAAAAACAACTTACCAGTGTATCCAGCCACTCTTGATCCATGAAGAGATCATAAAGCCATGTTTTGCTGCTGATTATGAACTTATCCAGTACGATAGGCTTCTTTGTCATGTTTTCATCTCCTTTTGTATAAATCTTTCTCACTCCTGTTCTGCCCTTCCTCTTCAACACACCACATTCAAGGAATGTCTTAAGTTTATCAATATCTTCTTGTGGGGGCATTTCCTTAGGGTTCAGGCTGAATGGTCCAATCACGACTTCCATTTGACTCAGGGTTACTTCAAACTTGCTCTTCACAGCTTCCTTCATTTTCTGTGTCTTGTTTTGCACCTTTCGCCCTGAAAGTGAGAGCTTTTGGGGCGCTTTAGTTTGCCTCTTACTCTTACGTGTCTGCACACAAGGGGCTTCATTTTCAGCATTTCCATAGTATTCCTGCAAATTTGCAACATTAAGTTTCCATTTATGGCACGAGGTCCTTTTTTATCCATTATAGTTTTCAATATAATTCACTCACACTTATTGGTTGTGCATCAATTATCGTATCCATTTTCACATGCTCAACAAGCTCTTTATTTGCAACATCCACATCCATACATTTCCCTTTTATATCCATCCCCTCTTCAGGCAACTGCAAAACAATATAAACAGTTACACTGTTTATAGCCAAATCTGACTTGATACAAAGACAATTATATACTCTGTCACACCGCACAGTGCCATCTAACACAGTATACTTTGTCACAGACAGTGCCATCTAACACAATACTCTTAATGAGTTAACACTTTCACATCATCAGAATCCTTTATACCACTTAGTCAGTATTTTATTTTAAGAATGCTTACTTACAGTGATTCCTTGTTCATCAATTGTAGAATCCATCTGCACTTTCTTGAAATTCGGATTAGGTGCGGGCTCCATATCAGATCCACCTTCCTTCTCAAAGATCTGCATGGCAATAATAATGATAACACAGTTTCATATATTCACAATATACTATCTTATTTAATACAAGAGTAAATGGTCTTACATTTCCTTCAATTGTGCCTTTCAAAATAGTATTCACTTCTTTGTCCATTTGTTCAAAGAACTGATCACTGAACTGTGTTTCAGACAACTTAGGCAAAGTCTCAATGCTTCTTTCATCTCTCATACCTTCTTTAATTTTATCATCTCCCTCATTACTGACTGTGGTGTCAACATGACCAAGATCATTGTCATCATGTCTGGAAGTAGCATCCTTTCCCACATCTCCATGGTTAGTGCCATCTTCTTCCAAAATAGTATCCTTCCCCATGTTTTTATTTTCCATGTCTTCACTCTCAACATTCTCATTGACAATTTCATCATCTATCTTTTTAAAACCCCTCTCCTCTGTATCATCTCCCTTTTGTCTTTCTAACTGCTCAAGGATCATCTTTAGCACTTTCCCTTGGCTTTCTTGCATTTTTTTCATGTCATTGAGAATTGTTATAATCTGACTCTGACTCTCCTTCTTCCTCTTTGAATTTCTTTTTGGAAGAAATTCCCCTTTCATGCTGTGAATAATTCTCTTTCTCTTCTCTTTTGGCTTGTTTTGGGCATTTCCAGTTGTTGAAAGTTTCCTTTTCTTAGCACTGCCAACACTCAGATTTCTTGCTACAGTTGCACCCTTTTCTGAGCACTCAATATGTTGCAGAGTGTCATCTATCCCCCTTCTTATGTATTCACTAGCAAATAATGCCAATGAAGGATCATTTAACTCCTTCTCACTTGGAACAATCTTTGACACTTCAAACTGTGTAAAACAATAAAAAATTATTAATATAATCCAGATTTACTACATATTCTCATTAAAAGAGAATTCCATAGAATACGAACCTCTGGATTTTCAAATATGGCTTCATGAAGAAACTGTGCTGAAATCTTTGCATAAATCTCCCACCTTAGGCAACATGGAATCCAATCTTCTCTTCCTTTTACAATTTGACAATGCCCCGACTCTCTCAAGGAAGGAAATTTCTCAAATGCCCATACCTGTAAGGCAAAGACAAACCCTCCAAACGTCACTCTTCCCCTTCCACGAGCATTAAGGGATTGTGCACATCTCCCAGCATGTGTTAACAACTCTTCCCATATGACTTCACCCCATGGGAATTTATTGAATGCACCCAAATCATCTACTAGGTTAATGTATCCAATAAGAAAACTAACACATGACTGGTGCCCAAACATAACATTGCCCAACAGATGCAGCAATGCTAGCTTTACAACATCATCAGTTTCTACTCTGGGGTCATCTCGGTTGTGATGCAGCAGTGCATCCGTAATATGACATCGCTGAACAGATTTTCCCGTATTGAAATACCTTAACCCGAAGTCACCCAACCTTTCATCATTCAAAGTTATCATATTTCCTCCGCTTCTTAATCCTGTGATAAGTTCAAATTCTGGCTTTGTGAACAAGACTTTTCTCCCATTTATTTTGAACTTCATTTCTTTACATCCAGTTATTCCTTGCTTTGGTAACTTGTACCTTTCTAACAGACCAACTAAGAGCCCATTACTAATCCATCTAACTTCAGGAACATCCAACAATTTTCCAAAAACCGTGCCTCTAAAGACTTGAAGCTCCTCCTTTCTCAACATGCCTTTAATTCTGCGTACGGTCTCAAGCACATTACAATAAGTGTTAATTCCTCCATCTTTAGGCTGTGCTCTATCACCTTTCTTCACAAATTTACGTGATACCTGTATATTAAAAGGTTGTTTAAAACAAAAATAAGTCACAATGCAATCACTGACAACAAGACCATAGGTATACTGGAAAAACGCGGTTCAACAACAAAACTAGGTCACAATGCAGTCCCTCACAACAAGACCATTGGTTTACTGGAAAAACGCATTTGAACAACGAAAATAAGTCAAAATGCAATCCCTCACAACATGACCATAGGTCTACTGGAAAAACTCAATTGAACAACGAAAATAAGTCACAATACAATCCCTCACAACAAGACCATGCATGTACTGGAAAAACTCATTTGAACAACAAAACTAGGTCACAATGCAATCCCTCACAACAAGACCATGCATGTACTGGAAAAACGCAGTTCAACAACAAAACTAGGTCACAATGCAATCCCTCACAACAAGACCATTGGTCTACTGGAAAAACGCATTTGAACAACGAAAATAAGTCACAATGCAATCCCTCACAACTTCACCATGCATAAACTGGAAAAATTCATTTGAACAACAAAACTAGGTCGCAATGCTATCCCTCACTACAAGACCATGCATCTACTGGAAAAACTCAATTGAACAACAAAACTAGGTCACAATGCAATCGATCAGAACAAGAACATGCGTCTACTGGAAAAACTCAATTGAACAACGAAACTAGGTCACAATGTAATCCCTCACAACATCACCATGCACAAACTTGAAAAATGCAATTGAAAAACAAAACTAGGTCGCAATGCAATCCCTCACAACAAGACCATGCATCTACTAGAAAAACTCAATTGAACAACAAAACTAGGTCACAATGCAATTGTCGCAGGTCGGAAACTAAAATTCAGTACCTTCGGTCGCTTCGCCATTTGCTTTGTCGCAGGTCGCTTATTTTCATCAGCAATTTCATCCGATCGAGTGTCCTCTTCGTCCATCATCTTCTCCGATTAAGATACAATGCGAAGTAGGTGAATTGGGAAGCAATTGAATTGTGAAGCAGAGGAATTGTGAATTTAATTCGTTTTTCGATTTGGCGCTCTGATCGAAGAACTAATGATAGCTAACGGGTAATTCGATTGGTTTTGACGGCTACTGGTAACGGAGACAGGTTATGATGGCTAACGGCGACTCCTATTTGGGGGATTTAATCTTCTGACTCCTATTTTGGGCTTTTATCATTGTTTTACTCCTATTGGGCTCCTTCTCCCAAAAAACAAAAGGAAATCAAATATGTTGATTTTGGAGATCTCGCTTTCGGCTGATTTTGGTGGCCATTTAGCTTTTGTTGATTTTTCTTTGATTGCATTAATCATGTTTGGCTATAAAACATGAGCATTGTGCATGGGGTTTAACACACAGAAGAGAGAGGGAGAGAAAAGGTGTGAAGAGAAAGGTGCTACACAAGATATCACCAAAATTGTGTGAGTGTAGGGAGTAATTATTTGTTACTCAAAAAAATATATCCGCGTGTAGGGTGTGAAAAGTCTGTTTATAAGTGTCTGGTATTAGCGCTTGTAAACAGGGAGAGTTTTTTGTGTATCGTTCTAAAATAGTGAAGATATAATTTTTCTCTCATATTTTCTTCTTGTGTAGTGTGGTTATTTATTTTTCACGTTCTTGATATTCAAAGAGTCTTACGCGCTTAAAATCCTAACAATTGGTATCAGAGCCAAGTTACATTTGGGGCGGAGGGGTTTTTAAGCGGTAAGAGAAGAAAGTCGAAGAACTTGAAAAATGGCATCGGTAAAAAGTTTGAATGTTTCCGTCGAACCTTTCAATGGACGTGGCGATTTTACTCTGTGGCAACAGCGAGTAAAAAGTGTTCTTACTCGTGAAGGTTCAGAGGATAGAAAAAATGACAGATGCTGAGTGGGCCAAACACAGGAAGAACGACAAACTGGAAAAATTGTCGGAAGAAGAGTGGGAGGATTTGAATGACATGGCAACAAGTACAATATGCCTATGCCTTGCAAATAATACTCTTCGGGAGGTTCTCGGTTTGACGGACCCGGTGGATATTTGGGACAAGCTGGAGAGCCGGTACAAGTCGAAATCGTTGACAAGTAGGCTATACTTGAAGCAACGATTGTTTGGTCTCCAAATGGCGGAGGAAGCTAATTTTAATGGACACTTGGATGAATTCAACAAGATTACAACAGAGTTGGAATCCATTGATGTGAAGATTGAAGAGGAGGACAAGGCGCTACTTTTATTGGCTTCATTGCCTTCATCTTTTGACAACATTGTGACTACGCTCTTGTTTGAAAAAGAAACCTTAAAATTTGATGAAGTAGTTGCTGTGTTGTTGATGAACGTGATACAGATAGTTAATTAGAATATTTTAATTAGTTATATTATTATTTAGTAGTTAATTATTACTCCGTATTATTTATCAGTATTTTATAGATTAGGGTTTTTGTATGGGCCCGAGCCCATTAGGTCAAGTAGGTGTGACGTCTCATCTCTAAATATTGTAATCCTGTATCGTTATTATTCAAGCAATCAATAATCAAGAATTCTCTTAATCTCTCGTCTCTCTTTTCTTGGAGTTCGGAAACGCTCGAAGTTTTCCATCTTTCTCTACCTCTTCTTCTTGGAGCTTGAATAACGCTCGAAGTTCTTCCCTATCCGATACGATATTCGTATCAATTGGTGCTTTCATTGAGAGAATTCCAAAATCTCACCACCAAAAAAAAAGAATATAGAAAAAAAGGGTTTCATTTTTCCGATCAGATCTTCCCCGTAGTTTGCCGCAGCAACATCTGGAATTGATTCAAGAATCCGACAGAGACAATAGCCGTAGTAAATTACTTCGCCGCCGCCACTGAAAGTTCACCTTCACCCCATTGAGTTCGAGTTGAGCCACCGGCGTCGATTGGGAGAACACCAAAACCAAAAAAAAAAGAAAAAAAAAGAACCACCGCCAGGCTTGATTTTTCACTGCCAATCTACAACCGCCGATCGAGGAAGATATTCCTTAGCCGCCTCAGTCGCCGCACCAAGCCAGAGTTTCACTTGCCTCAAAGTTGCCTTTCGTTGCCGCCCTAGCCTGTGGGTGTTGTTGGTGCTCTCGGAATTGTAGGCGCAACACATAATTTTTCCGTTGGAGCTCTTATAATTGACACCTAATTTGGTGCCACAAGAATTTTGCAAAATTGCTGATAAAACTCCAAGATCTCATATGTGAGAAGTGGTTGCTGGGCAAGAGCATTAAATTTGGAGTAGAAGAGTAATTGTGCTATTGTTTTGCTCCACGTCCAAGAAAAAAATGCACTCAGATTTTTTATTCCGGATAGAGGCTCGATTCAATCGGTTAGAGACTCTGATTATGAGTACCAATGCATTGGATGCACTTATTGGTTTGCTTGAAGACGTTCTATATGGAGAAATTGATCTAGACGAAGGAGTGTGTGGAGTTTATGATCATGTGGAAGAACTTATAAAGACGCTCCGGTCATTTCGTCATACTACTGGTCAGCCAAATTATGACTCTGACTTGCACGCGTTTGATGTTGAAATCTCTTGCTCCATACAAAATTTGGTTCGTGGTCCCCTAATTTTGCCGAGCTTGATTCCTTGGGAGTTACAAAATTTCAGAACAAACATGATGAACGTCGTCCAGAACCTCATCAATGCCCCGCTTTCTCTACCCAATTTGGCTCATATGGTCACTATACAAAATACTAAGTGTCATGAAAAGGAATCGAAGGATGACTCAAGCGTAGAATCGCATGTCGGGAATGACGTGGACAGTGGGTCTGAACTCCTGAATGAAGATGACGAGAGGTCCAACACCGTGGGGAATAATGAAGAGGATATTTTAGAAGATATTGTTAATGTGGACACCTTATATCTTCCATCACGTGAATGTTATGATCCGGTCAATGCTTCAACTTGTGTGGTCGTTGATGAGCTTGCCCTTCTAGAAGTTGTCAACAAGGTGGCGGGTGCAGATGATAAGCAAGCAGACAACCTAATTTCATTTGACACCATTAAGTTATTTGACATTATCGAGGTGGTCAAGATGGAGCACCTAGTTCCACTGAGAGTACCTACATATGTTATTGGCTTTGTCTCATATTTCCTTCGATTTTCTCTACGAGCCACGATGGTTGAAAATTCAAAGAGTGGACTACTCCTTTGGTTCAACACTCTTTCTCCGGTCTTAAAACACGAGTGGGAGCCTCCACCTTGAGGACAAGGTGGATTTTAAGGGGGTGAGAATGATAGGGATAGTTAATTAGAATATTTTAATTAGTTATATTATTATTTAGTAGTTAATTATTACTCCGTATTATTTATCAGTATTTTATAGATTAAGGTTTTTGTATCAGCCCGAGCCCATTAGGTCAAGTAGGTGTGGCGTCTCATATCTATATATTGTAATCCCGTATGGTTATTATTCAAACAATCAATAATCAAGAATTCTCTTAATCTCTCGTCTCTCTTTTCTTGGAGTTCGGAAACGCTCGAAGTTTTCCATCTTTCTCTACCTCTTCTTCTTGGAGCTTGAAGAACGCTCGAAGTTCTTCCCTATCCGATATGATATTCGTATCAGAACGAGACTCGGCGGAGTGGATACGGGGTATCAAATGATGGTCAAGCTTTGGTAGCAAAATGACGCCGAATTAAATCAAGGCGTAGGGCTAGAACGTGAACAACGAAAGAAAGGGAAAGATTGAAACGCTAGGGGAAGAATTCCGCTCTAGGTATAGGAAAAATTCTCAAATAATGATAGTCTGCCTGAATTATGCCCACAAGCCGGGCTATAAATAGCTGAAAAAAACAAAGGGACTGAAACCCTAAAAGATGGAAGACAAAACGGGCCTAAGAATAAAAATAAATGGGCTAACTAAAAAATAGGCCAAAGGCCCAAAGACACAAAAATTAAAAAATTAAGGCCTTAATCCTCTCCTACATCAGTCACCCCGGGTTGGAAAGAACTCGCCCTCGAGTTCACATCATCTTCCTTAGAATCCAAGAAACAAGGAGTTAGGTGCTTCACATTGAAAACATCAGAAGTTTTCACGTGACTGGGTAGCCGCAATCGGTAAGCATTATCATTGATCTTCTGAACTATCTCGCAGGGTCCAATTTTTCGATCCTTGAGTTTATCATACTCGCCAATAGGGAAGCGATCTTTAGTTAATACAGCCGAAACAAAATCTCCGACATCAAACAGAACTTGACGACGATGTTTGTCCACCTGGGCCTTGTACCGGTTGTTGCTCTCCTCAATCTTACTCCGCACTTGCTCATGAATTTCCTTCAGATGCTCTGCCATCTCCTCGGCTCTAGGAGGAAAACGCCCCACACGTGGAATAGGGGCCATGTCCAGGACCCCTGTTGGGTTCCAACCATAGACAACCTGAAATGGACTCATGCGAGTGGTCCTGCTCGTCGACCTGTTGTAGGCAAATTCTGCTTGAGGAAGAGCTAAGTCCCACTGCTTCGCTTTATTTCCAGCCAAGCAACGAAGGAGGTTGCCCAAACTGCGGTTCACCACCTCCGTCTGACCATCCGTTTGGGGGTGATAGGCACTACTGAAGTTTAAACGAGTGCCCAACTTTTCCCATAAACTCTTCCAGAACTGGCTCATGAACTTTGTGTCACGATCTGAAGTGATGGATCGTGGAACTCCATGCAACCGTACAATCTCCTTAATGTAAAGATGAGCAATCCATGCAGCGTCCATGGTCTTCCTACAAGGTATAAAATGCGCCATCTTGGAAAACCTGTCAATAACTACAAAGACAGAATCTGCTGCCCTTTGGGTGCGGGGTAAACCAAGCACAAAATCCATGCTAACATCAAACCAAGGAGCTTCAGGAACAGGTAATGGGGTGTAAAGACCTGCGTTAGTAAGAACACCCTTTGAACGCTGGCACACAAAACAACGATCCACAAAATGGGTCACATCACTTCTCAATTTTGGCCAATAAAAGTCAGCCGACACAAGAACAAGAGTCTTGTCTCGACCAAAATGCCCTTCATTGTGGAGCTCACTGATAATCTGCTGCCGCAAGGAACAATCTGGAATGCACAGCTGCTGCCCTCGAAATAGATAACCATTGTGCACAATAAAATCACATCGCTGACCAGAAATTACCTCCATAAATATCTTTCCAAACGAAGGATCATCTTTATACATGTCTGCGAACACATCAAATCCTGTAACTCGATTGCTCATGGAGGTGAGAAGCAGACTGCGCCGACTCAAGGCATCGGCAACACGATTCACGCTGCCCGCTTGGTGCTTCAGAGCAAAGGTGAACTCCTGCAAGTATGCCACCCATTTGGCATGTCGTCTATTC